TTTTTGTCCCAGTTTTACCTTTTCTTTATCATGAAAACATTTTTAGATTCACAACCCTCTCTTTCCGTGTCTCTCCTGCTGTCACCAGCTTAACCTGCCAGCGTGGTGTTTGCTGTGATTGCATAATACTCTGAGACACAGCAGCATTAACTGTAATGTAATTGAATTGAGCAGAATACAGTAGAATTGTTGCTCAGAGTGCTGTACGGTCTGTTGAGCGCAATTTACTTTTATGGCAAAACAAAATTTAATGAGTCAGGCAGTGAATTTTAATCCTCCCACTGCTCTTTTCCTGTGCTGTCCTTTCATCACACAGATGTGGAACATGGACATGTGTGTCTGGGAGAAGTTAAAGAAAGGCCTTTTTCATTAAAATGGATTTGACTAGTTTCATAAGGATGACAGAGGTGTAATCTCACAAAGACCCCAGAGTGCACTGTTCTCTCTCCAGCAGTGTGTGTATCTTTGCTATTCTGCATGTATGTTGAGATTTGACATCATTCAGAGCTTTATTGACATATGCAAAAAGATTAAGTCAGAAAATGCAATGCAATGGTTTGCTGCCATCCAGGATTAGAAATGGAAAAAGTAAATATATAGGAAAGGGAAGGTAGTCAGGACTGAGGGAGATTGCACTACCTGAAGGCAACATTGTAGACATAGAGGACAGAACTTGGAATCCCACAGGCAAATGGGAAACATGAAGAGCTCGCTAGAAAAGCTGCAACCACCAAATACCTGCAGAGACTAAGACAAATCCTGTGGAGTCAGTCGAATGGGAAGAACAACCATCAACACCTACGCCCTGCTGCCCGTTAGATATCCTGTTGGGATAATCAGCTGATCAAAGGAGGAGATAGAAGCCACTGATATCAAGGCAAGAAAGCTGCTTTCCATGCATGGAAGTCCAGCACCCTGAGACTGTATGCTAAGTGGAAGGAAGTAGTTGGAGGACTAGTGATTGTCAGAACCACTATTATCAGGAAGATGACCACGACTGACCACTTGCTTAGTCAATACCACAGGCAGCAGAAATCTGAGAAAGAAGAGGAACCATCATGGAAGGACAGGTCCTTGCATGGCATGGACCACCTTTACATAGAAGAAGTGGCTGATATTGGGAAATCCTACCAGTAGCTAGATTGAAAGACAGCACAGAGGCATTAATCATGGCAGCAGAGGAACAAGCTCTGAGCACAAGATCCATAGAGGCTGCGGTCTACTACACCAGTCAAGACTCCGGATACAGGCTGTGTAAAGATGCCCCTGAGACAATCCAGCACATAACAGCGGGTGCAAGATGCTAGCAGGCAGGGCATACATGAAACGCCATAACCAAGTGGCCGGCATAGTATAGAGGAACATCTGTGCTGAGTATAACCTGGAAGTCCCGAGGTCAAAATGTGAGACCCCCTCCAGGATGATTGAGAATGACTGAGCTAAGATGCTGCGGGACTTCCAGATAAACTGGTGATGGCTAACCATTGATAATGGACATGGACATAGTAATGGTGGACAGACAGAAGAAGACAGATGATAGATGTTGTCTATGTGCCTTGCAATAATTATGGTTGTAAGTCAGGCTGATCTCCCTTGCAGACTAAGAGGCTTCTGAAGACATTGGGTACAAAGTCAATCTCTTCATGTTTTGTGAACATTCAATCAAGTGTGTATGCTGGTGTGTCTGTTCTATTACTGTAAATGTTTTTATTCATGTTTTCTGACTTACTGATCCAACAGGATTGGTTGCCATAGTGTTTGTGCACCATTTAACAAGAGTGTCATCTGAAGGCCACACTGACGTTTTTGTTTTTTTGAGCGGTTGATGTTGGAAAGTAATTGTTGCCTTGTAGAACTGATTGCTTTCATCTTAACTCATGAGGCAAAACTGAGAAACTGTTTTCAAATTCATTAAGATTCATTGTTTTGCCATCCCTGTAACAACATGCTTGGCTGAAAAAGGCGTTTAAAACCTTGTCATTTTGAGGCTGTGGAGCAACTGGCTCAAAAAGATAACAAGTAACATGCTTTTTCATCCTTGCCTCTCTTCTTTTCTCTGCCAGCAGTTCAGTACCAGTCGAGCCTCTATGGAGGAAACAGCAGCAGCAGCTCTCCCGTCTCCAGCCGTGGAAATTCACCCATCGTGTGTGAGCGCTGTGGGGAGGTTTGTCGTGGGGAGGTGGTGCGTGTGAAGAACACACACTTTCACGTTAACTGCTTCACTTGCAAAGGTAAAAGAAAAAAAACTAATAAACCCACACACAAACATGCTTTATGTATGTATTTATTTGTTTGTTTTTTACATTACACACACATAAAAAACTCATTAAGTGTGCACCACAGTTATATCTGCTTCCGTACTCCACTCTTAGCCTTACATACAAAGGTTTAAATTCATTTGTTTTTCAGTCTTGGTCTAATGCATTTCATCCGCATCAATTTACATAGTTAAATATTAAATAATTACTCAGACAAGAAGGAACCAAGGCAGTTGAATAATTGCTAGCTTCTTCTTGCTCACTGAAATGGAGGCTGAACCACAACTTCGGCGGGAACAGCCAGAAAAAATTAGAGACACCAATTTGGAAAATAGTTCTGTCTCCAGAGACAAAAATTATGTTGATGTAGGAAATATCATTTAGCACAGTGGAAAGATCGTTGGTCATTCAAACATATAAGGCATTGTACTTCTGTCCAGATTTTCTGGCCACATAACATGCATAATATCATATTTTAAATCACCCAGATGCACATGTAAAGAAAACCTAAGAAATGTGTTTTTGTTTTTTATTTTATTGTCCTCTTATAGAATTTGATTCTTGCAAAATGTTTCAGAAAAAAATGGTCTAATGATAACGTCTACAAATGAACAAGGTTAATTAGTCACCTGACTGAGCATTCCTGAGAGTTCAGTCTCTCGGGGATGCTCGAAAAAGCACCAAAGTAAGAAAAAAAAGACAGAATGACTGATTGAATGACTGTGATCTTCAGGCCCTCAGGAGACACTGAAATAAACAGTTTGTAGCTGCAGCCATTAATGGAAAACTCCACCATGCAAAGAATCACATATCAACAAGTTCCAGAAGTGCCGATTTAAGGAGCGCTGCATCAATGCCATGCATAAAGTAAAATAAATAAAGGATTTCTAATTTACCCTAGCGGAAAATTAAATTATATCGATGTTAAGGAAGCGGCTTTTTTGGAAAATACGCTTACCACGCTTGCTTGCAGAGATAAAGCTTAGCTTTGCCTATTAGTTTCGCATAGCACAAAGACACAGTCTGGGTGAAACAGGTAGCATGGGTATGAATATTGCTGTTCTCCAAAAGAAAAACTGACCCTCTTGCAACTAAGGTTAGCAGTAAGGTAGTAACACATAGGCAAAAAATTGTATAAAGTGAGCAAATCTCCAAAAATAAATCCTAGCTGTAAGCAGTGGATGCAGGTGTAAAGAAGCAGAGGAAAGATTTAATCATTTAGATTTAGTGTGAGGCCCTGTTTTTAGTAACACAGCTATACGCTGTTTTAAAAACATGTTTATGCATGACTGTGTGCATTTGTGCATGTAGTTGTGCGTGCAAACCCAGAACTATATATGTCACTTGATGTCTCTGCATGGTTGAGCTCCACCGGCGAGCAGGTGGGACAGAAGGCACTAACACAGCTTTGCAGTCAGCAGCTAGCTTAGCAGTGCAGTCAGCAGGTTTTCAGCCCCTAGTCAGACTCCAACCAGCTAACCTCCTTTCACGGGCCGGGACCTACACAGTCCCAAAGCATACTGCAAGACAACACAGTTTTCTCTGTTTGATCTGACAGAAGCATCGCATCAATGCACTCAGTCACAAAGCACAGAAGAAGAGGATTTTCTATTTTTTTTTTCTTTTCTTTCATGGAACGCCATGTTTTATCTCACGCACCATTACTTACAGATGCAGATCTTAAAATAGCCTGAGGTGAAATGACTCTTTTGGTTGTTTGGATGAATAATTGATTATCTGCTCGATTGAAGCACTCACTCCTCCTGACGGGACATAAGCCAGATGTACTGACAGAAGTGTCCCGTTTGATATTAAAGTTCATATTATTATGGACAATTGATCTTGCAGAGTAAGCTTAATGACTTTTAGCTAATGGCACAGTCCATTAGTACTTCATCAGCAGAGGAGACGTCAGCTGATGGAGCAGACAAGAATCAAAACGTCAGCTTTTAGTACACAGATGTCTGGTTTTTCCACTCTTCTGCTTGTTATCTTCTTCTTGCTTCTGCTCTCCCGTGCTGTCGCTCTCTCGTCCCACCTTCTTTGTTTTTTAGATGTGAATGTCAGTGAGTTACAATGCATCTTTGGTAAACAGCTTGCCTGTTAACGTGACTATTCAGGAAAGAACAGGGGTATTTTTAGGGAACAAAGACATTAGAGTGAGACGGATGAGGTAGCTACACTCTATTTTAGAGTGACTCCAATTGTTTTTTAATGTGTTGTGAAGTGACTAGTGGTGATGGTGGTATGCAATGAAATCAAGATCTTGGGCCTTTTTAATGACATATAAATTAAACGTATTGAAAACCTGGAACTATTTAATGACAGTTAATTATACGTTTTCATTGAGTCAGAGAATAGAAATCTAGATCAGACTGGCAGTATAAGAAGTCTGTGATGTGATGCATGAAGAAAAGACCGTGCACGGTTTTTCTGACACTTTTAGTCGTGAAAATATTAACCAGTTTGTTTTATTGAAATGTCTCAACAAGTATTCAGTCAATTTTTGTGTAATTTGGTGACTTAGCAGCAATAACATCAAGGTATATGTTTTCTAGGACTTTATCAGTCTCTTACATGGTTGTGGAAGAATTTTGGACCACTTTTTCTACAAAGTTATTTTAGTTCATCGAGGTTTACAGGCATTCATTTATGTACAGCTCTCTTCAAGTCCCACCACAGGATATCATTTACCAACACCCAATTATTTTCTTTTTCTGAGATTCTGTTGTAGATTTGCTACTGTGCTTGAGATCATTCTCATTTTGTATGGCCCAGTTTGGACCACGCTTTATCTGTTGGACAGATGTCCTCATATTTGACTCTAGAATACTTTGGTACATGGTCGACTCAGTGACTGCAGGGTGTCCAGGTACGGTGGCTGTAAAACAAGCCCTACATCCTTATTCATCCACCGTTTGTGCTGATATACTGTGTTCTCTGTGCATTATGGGCAAACATCTCCACGTTGGTCTCATTTGTCCAGTGGCCACTGGATGCAACTTAACCTAAGCTGTGCTGCCATGTTCTTTTTAGAGAGAAGAGGCTTCCTTCTGGTAACCCTTCCAAAAAAGACATAATTTCTCAGTTTTTTCTGATTGTACTATCATAAAATGTACCATTTGGTATGCTAACTGAGACCTGTAGAGTCTGTAGCTCTTGGGTTTTTTCAGTTTTTCTAGCCATTGCACGGTCTGATCTTGGCATAAATTTGATGGAAACTCCACTCCTGGGAACACCAGGGCACTGTGTTAACACACCTGAATGCTACAGAACAGCAAACATCTGCTGTTATAGAGAGAGTCGTACCTGCTATGATCAGTTAATGAAGTGCATCTCATTAGCCGCACCTTCTGCTACTTACCCTCTTAATTCCTATGGAAGCAGTAAAGATGTACTTTTTAGAGGACTGGTCAGAGCGTTGTATGTAACACTCTGTCCAGTATTTAACCTATTTTTATAAAATTAAGCTCACTACCGTGCAGAAGTAACTTCATCCCATGTGCAATTTAGAGCTGAAAGTTGTACCAAAAAATGGCCTTGTACACATTCTAATATACTTGTCATCAATGTGAATTTTCATAAAGCAGATAAAAAAATGTGGCTGCACATAATGATTTCTCTGAAAATCTCTCATACAGCATTTCATTTAAAATCTGACTGACAAATGTTGACTATTCACAACCTCAGCGTCAAACAATACTGCCAAAATCCATGCTGTAGCACATAATTCTGCCTTTGTACAGTTAGACCACAGACTGATTAGACTCGTGCTTTTCCCTTTTCCCCTCATCAGTTTCTCTTTGATCCTTCTGTCCCGATCACACACTCATGCAAATCCAGACGCGCTACAGAAAAGGAAATCCATCTTAAATTGATGATGCTAATAGATGAGGGAAGACAGTGACGGGATGGCAGATGTGTGCTGGATGGACAGATCAATAGCCTCATTGATACCTCCCTAGAGTCCCCCCGCATCTTTCTCTACGTCCTCATCCCTTCACTTTGCTGTCTGCTTTCCTTTCTCCTCACATATGATGCTCTTTCTCTATTCAGCTTCCTCTAATCTCTCCCTCGACTCCCATCTTGCCCTTCTTCGTCTTCCTCTGTCTTGTCTGAGCCTTGTGTCTGAAATAATCCTCTCTCCTCGACATCTCTGCTTTTTCAGGCAAGAAAACTTCCCCATCTACATCATCTAAAACCTTCCAGCATCTCTTTTCTGGTAAATCTATTCGAACGCTGGCAATAAGGAAAAGTGCTCGGAATTTTCCTTTGTATTGAAACAAGACAAGACAAGGCTTGTAATGTCTTCCCTCAAAGGCGGTGAAATATCGGCACGCACTAATTTATTTTGATAGATCATCCAGCTGCAGGTGCTTTGCCTTCTCAAATGAATTTAAAACAGACTCCTATGATTCTAGTGAAGCTTGCTGCCAAGGCTGACCCACTTTAAGATAAAACAAGTTTGTGTTTCACAAGTGAAACATACCAGGAGCAAGAGTCTGTGTATTTTATCACCATTAGTGTGTGCTCAGCCATACACAGTCATGGATGGCCTGGCTCTTTCTTCAGAACAGACTTCAAGGGCAAACTGTAAAGCATTAATCGCTGTATCAGCTCTGCTTTGCAGCACTTTTTTGTGGTTTTGAATGAACATTTGCTGACGTCCTTGTGTGTTTCCATACATGCTTGTATTCTGTGTTTGTACGTGTAACTGAAAGCCAAATCACAAAGATGAGACAGTCCACACCACACCTCCAGGAGTTCCTTTTGTTTCGCATCTTCATTATATCTGTTATTATTAAATCTTATTCATTTTTCTTCTTTGAATCTTTCCTTCATTCACTCAATGCTTTACTTCAGGCTTCAAATAAAGAAATCATTACTTGCAGTCTTTCTGCCAATATCGCGTGTTTGTGGATAAATGCATTCACACCTGAAGCACTTCAGTCTAATAGGCTTTAAATCACTAT